TCCGGCCTTCTTCATGTGATATACTTTTATTTCGTCCACCGGGGTAGATTGTCTATTGAACTCACAAGCCACTGGATTAATTCAACTAACATTTTTATCCACTTTTATCCCAAGGACACATGACCCAGTGGATAAAAGCGTTGTTTGAAGTAGTTCAATGACATGATCCAAAGAATTGCGAGTTCAATACCTGGCCACAGCAGAGGTGAATAAAAAAACTTAGAGAGTCGAGTTATTAAAGGGAAATAACTGAAACTGACACATCCAGAAAAGGCTTGGCACGTGGAAGTAGAACAATCTACCCCGGTGGACGAAATAAAGGGTTCGGTTTCGAATTCCAACGTATATCACCTGAAGAAGGCCGAAACGTCGTGAATATGACGATAAAGATGAGTAAAATAAAAACTACCAATCAGAAAGTAATAGTTGAAGTTCACAATGAGAAAGAAGGTTTGGAGAATTTAACCCTCACAGGACATAGTGAAGGCGACAAAAGCATAGAAAAATAGTGAGTTTGTGTGAATGGATGACAAATTGTTCTCTTAATAATTGGAGACTGGAAAATACATCACGTGTTCTTAGTCTTTTATCTTTAGTTCTTTATTAGTCTTTGTAACAATGACGTTACATATGCCTTGGAAATAAATTTTCAGATTTGAAATCATACCATATCACAAAGCCCAATACAAATGAAGAATTTCAGGATTGATTGTGTTTCAAGGTTTATGAACCTTTTACGGATTATTTAAAGCTAGAAAATATTTTTTTGGACTTTAAGAAATTTTTTTGAGGTAATAATGATTTTGCTAATACAAGTCCTATTATTTAGCCCATAGCTTAGGGAGAAGAGTTGGATTCATGCCTTTCTCAATGGTATTATTGCCTCTGAATATAACGAATCCGACTGGGACTGGAAGTCGGCGCACCGATTTCCAATTCCGAGCCGTTATGTATGCACATCCAAGCTGACAGCATTCCCAAGCTGTCACCCATCTACGTACTAACCAGTCTCGACATTGCTTAACTTCGGTGATCGTACGAGAACCGGTGTTTCAACGTGAAATGGTCGAAAGACAAATTCCACTAGGAAATAAAAGACTCAGGTTTAATTATTGAAATTAAATCCACTAATTGAGGCACCCAGTGAGAATCAAACTTACTACAGTAATAATGACTGAAGAAGCCATCTTGCAAACTATTGCCCCTATGAGAAGGTGTCTTCTTTTTTTATTAATCAGATTAATTTTGTTTTTAACGTTTCACTTCGTGTCGGTTAACTTTGTTTTAGTGACCCTTAAAAAAGCGGCTGGGTACCAAGATTGCTTCATTAATTTCTCTGGGAAAATTAAACTGTATAATTATAGAAAGCATATCGTTCTGGGAGAGTAAGAACGTGCCCGGCGGGTTCCTTAAAGAATCATGGCTTCTTAATCGTATTGATTGCATTGGAGCAGCAGGGTATACAGTTCTGCTAGATTACACCCACATATTTTTTTCTAATATGACCAGAGATACTATAGCGAGAGTATAAACAAGACAATATTTGCTGCTGATCATGAATCTATGACTATGAAGAAAATCAGGTATAGAAAATCATATACAATGAGAAATTGAAGAGAATTTTGCTGGAATTTGAAATAAATAGAAGTCAGTAAACTGAAGGAATCTGCATATATGAGTAGATTTTTATGTATAGCAGATCATATATAGTGAGAAATGAGAACAGATCATCTTAAGCAGGATTTTGAAATGTACTGAAGACCGTAAAATGAAAGTTGCACATACGAGTGTAAATTTCTAAAGCCAAAACAGGATTAAAAAAATTCGGTTACAAGAAACTTTCAAACATAACCTATTTGGAAAAAAAAAATTGGAAATATAATAGAATACAAAATACGACAAATGTTGCTTTAGCTTCGATTTAAAATCAAAATATCTGGATCGTTCAGATTTTTCATAAGAATCAGCAATATTATTGGTCCTGACCTGACATCTCGGCTTCAGTCACTTTCCCGTCGCCGTAATGTAGCTTCCCTGTGCCTTTTCTATAAATATTTTCATGGTAATTGATCTGATGAAATTTCCTCTATGATACCAGGACTTTATGAATTTAAGTGCAGTACTAGATTGGCGGCAAGGTCTCATCAATTTACAGTTGAAATGACTAGATGTACCCGTAAATTCTATGTTAGCAGTTTCTTTTCTCTTACTTCGCGCTTGTGAAACACTTCCGGCTCCATGCTATCCAGAAAACTGATCTCCAAAAATTAAAAATGCAATGTCTATCGTTATCCACTGTCTTCTTGATTACTCTTAGTTTTCACGCTTCTTAATAATGTTTCTTTATTTTCATATTCTTTCATACTGTAACCCCTTGTGTCTTAGTGGCTCTAGTGCCTTGTATGGGGTGAAATGATAAAAAAAATCCATTTGAAATATACTTTAGATAATATTTTAATGTAATTGGGATGTGCTGTGTAGAAGATGGATCTCCAGTGCCTAGACCAGAATTTAAAAACTGCTACTTATTCATACTACGCCTAGCGCAGCACGCAATGACAAATTAAATACTACAATGATGACTTCGACTCTTGCTTCTTCTTGAATACACAACAAACAGATTTAATCAAGCTGACTTGAGTGGCTCTTGCGTTTTGTAAAAAAAGTGACGCAAGTGCTAGTCTTCCAAGTGCGAAGGGTATGACTTAGTATGTTACCGAGATTTAATAAACGTTTAAATTGCATTTGGAAACGAACAGAATATTTGAAAAAAAAAAATATTTTCCCCGAGTTATTTTGCAATAAATATATTTGCCAAGTCAGGTGGTCTAGCAAGTGCGACACGGGTTGGAAGACGCAAAGTATGTTTTTCTGAAAGAATTCCGTCTATGGTTAATTGGACCTGAATTGAATCTATAAATTTTGATAAGATATATATATATATATATGTGTGTGTGTGAGTGAGTGAGTGAGAGAAAAAAAAAACCAGTGTAATGGTGATTTTCTAAGTGCAGTTAAGATGTGGCACAAGGCCGAAAGTATTGTGCATCCAGTGAGGATCGAATTCACTCGTAATTGTTCTAGCGAGACAATACACCACATCTAATTACCCAAAGTAGCCAGAGTAATGATACGAAACTATGGCCAGAGGATAGGTATCATATTTAGAATTAAGTATTATTCTCTATCTATTAATTCAATTAAAACACATCAGATTGGCAAAAGGTCAATGGAGGCAAAGCCATACATTGCTTGACTTTTTTCCAGATTAAATAATCTTTGTGTAATAATTGATCGTCCCGGAATCTTCAGGTTTTTTTATGTAAAATTGTAAGCGGCATTGGTTGTATTTCGATCCCCGTCACATATATAAGATTCCAACAATAAAAATTATTTATGTTTAAAGAAGTCATTTTGAAGAACGAACCTGAGGTGTTTTCGCATTATATATAACTTTGTTATTGTAAGTATGTAGACATAAGCAGGTCAGATTATGCACGCATATATTGGCATTCTATACGCGTATGACACTGTCAATTGGCATAATACACGCAAAAACGTCACCAACAGTTGGTTCTATACACACACACACACACAGGCGACAATGACAATTGGCACTGTTATTATCCAGAATTATGTTACATTATTCTAAAAATAAACTTGTCATCAGTGATGATAGAAAAGAAGGGCATTTCATCATCCTAAACCTCATCATTATAAAAACAACCTTTCCACCGCAAGAGAATATGTAGAGTAGAGAACAGTAGAGTAGACTAGTAGCAGTAACAGTACAAAAACACACGTCTATCCAGCGCTCCGTGAAGATCGAAAACAGACGATTTGAAATGTCATTCTAACAAACGAAATTCTCGGAACCAAACAAAAGAGACACTGAGAAACATGTTTACACGTACTATACCAATATTCTGTAATTCACATCACAAAAAGAAAATACAAATTATTGTTTTTTATGTTAACATGTGTTTCAAGTTTTTATTGTTTCTGCTATTGTTGTACGCTTTCTGAAATTTAATTTGTTACTAATACATACACCGTTACATCACTATACACGCGCAGGTGACAGTGACAATTGGCAATATACACACACAGGCGACAATGACAAGATGTCTTGTATAGCCAGGTAGTGTTGTTATTACCACTATTAATTATTCGTGTAGAATTTGATACTTTCGTTTTCTACGGTTTATCAACCTATACAGGTTATTTAAAGCCAGAAAACATTTTTATATTGTAAGAAATTTTATTTTAGAATAATGGTCTAGTGATTCAAGTCTTACTAATTAACCCAAAGCTGGGGGAGAAAAGGTGGATTCATGATTTTATTTTTGCACGTAAGTGAATATAACGAACACAGCTGGAATCTTAACTCGGCTCACCGATTAAAAATTCTGAGCCATTATCCATTACACCACCCGCACATCCACGCTTACAGCACCTGGTATTCCCAAGCGGTCACCCATCTAGATACTGACCAGACTCGACGTTGCTTAATTTGAACGTGACGTGGCTGTAAGCCACGAGTAGAGAGGGATAGCTGGTGACGTTACTGCTGTCGTTGAGACAATAATGTCAGTTGTTATTCATTTACGCAAAAATAGCTTATTCGTTGCGTTAACTATTCTTGAGTTTAAAAGCCAATCAAGTAAAAAGCGAAGCGCCGAAATCCCGTGTTTATGCACACTTGTATTTCCGTGCTCGCCAAATCCTGCTATCATAAATAATAACCAACGTGTTCCACCCCCGCCGCCTCGAACCAGACACGCGAAGTCTAAGGTCATGTGCATATTCAATTATATCACTAGCATTAATCATGCTCACAGCAGTAACTATGTAAAGTTAAAACAAAGGAAAATAATACAGTAACGCCTTAAACAACAACGTTAAAAGCAATGCTTCAGGATGTGGGCGATTACGGCTCTCCACAACTTCTTATCCTTCGTAGCTGTTAGCAATGTTTGTCTATTTACTATCCGTTCCGCTTGCAGCCACATCAAGCTGAAACATCAGTTCCCGGACGATCACCGAAGTTAAGCAACGCCGAGTTAGCTCAGTACCAAGATAGGTAACCGCTTGGGAATACCAGGTGCTGTAAGCTTGGATGTGCGGGTGGAGTAATGGATAAATAGCTCGGAATTGGAAATCGGAGAGCAGAGTTCTAATTCCAGTTTTATTCGTTATATCCACTTACTTTGAGAAAAGTATGTATCTACCTGTTCTCCGTTTATTATATGTTAATTAGTAGGACCGTTATTATCCACCCCACAAATCTTAAAATCTAAAAATATTTTATGGCTTTAAATAACCTGCAAAATTTTAAATAAGCCGGAGGAAACTAATTAATAAAAAAAAACTAATCCTCCCGCTTCCTACTTTCTGGAATCAACTCCCATGAGGATGCTTCCCCGACCACTACAATATTAACCTGTTTAAATATCAGGTTAGCCGGTATCTTCTACATATACCCATATACTGTGCCGCTTACTCTGTAACACTCTACCTTGAGTGACTCTTGGGCCTTGTACAGAGTGAACATTTTTGTAAAAACAGAAAAAAAAATATCTCTGAATTCGCTTCTTACCTTAGAATGAAGGCTAAAAACCTAATATCGCAATGTTTTAAATAAATTCGTCTTTCGCTCGAAAACCCTGTCGGATTTGATTAAGCACACTAAATACATAGCCTTGTGCCTTACTAAGCTATATTTAGTAAACATTGAGCAATGGAAATTTAATATTGTACAGACCAACAAGAAGAGGAGACTAAATGTCATGGCGAGTTCTATGACAACAGAATATCCATAGAAAGTCCCCCCCCCTTATCGCATTGTTAAATATTTGATCTTAACTTTAACAAAATATTGCAATAGCAATCATAAATATGAATGCTGGTCGTTATTTTAAGAAGTGGGTACAAATGAAAAGATTTGATATTGATAACTTTTTTCCATTTCATAGAAACAGACGTGAAACACTTATATTCCTTTCTTTCATTTTCTCACTGAAACCAATTGCGTCTCTGATATGTTATTTACGCGTTTACACGCGGTTAAAACGGAATAGTCCATTATTTATTATTTATATTGGCACGACGTAACGGTCGTGCGAACGAACTAACGAAGGGAGAGATGGATTATAATAAGGATTAAAATACTAAAGAAAACGGCGGTACCGTTTAAACCATCTGGCAACTGTTTTCATACTTATTTCAAATACTTTATTTTGCTCTACACTTTTTTTGTATATGATCAACGATTTCTGAATATTAAACTAAACGTAAACTCAAGTTAACAATTGATCCAGTTGTCTCTCTTTGCTATACAATTTTTTTTTTCGCTTGTTTTGTTACAAAGTTCTTTGATTTTATGACGTAAAATTTTAATCTTCTTTTCAGCTATCTTTTAAGTTGATTAACTTTTAACATAACACATAAAAATGAATGTAGTAAACCCATTTGAGACATTGCGTGCTTCGTGAGTTCAAAAAGGGTTCCATAGTCTTCAGAAGCGGCGATGAATATTTGCAACGTCTTTGGGAACAGAGTCTTAAGTGTCAGGAAATGCCTGGAATGGTTTATTCGGTTTCAGTCGGTAATTCTTAGCCTCAAAGATTCCCTTCGTTCCGGACGACCGACTTCAACTAAAGCTCTTCTAACCGTAATTGAAGAGCTGAAGCAAAAAGAGTTCAGTCCTACTTACACAACAATCATAATCCACCGCCATGAACTCTGTAAAGTGCCATAGATTGACCAATGGGTTCCACATGACATGGCATATTCGCAACTTAAAGAGACAACATCTGTTCTTCATTAATGACAAGACATGCTACCGAGCCATTCCTGGAAAGGGTCGATGTCAGTGGATGGGGGTGGGGAGTATGCTTTTTATAATCATATGCGAAGGGACAATAGTTACAGCTTTAAAAAAAAAAAAAAAAAGGAGGAAAGAAAAAAAAGAAACCCGTACTTATACCAAAAGCAGAAATACACCGTGAGAAGGTAAAAGTCTGTTTAGTAGGCTATGAGCTTACGGCGAAACCACTGGCTCTAGTTTAATCGCCGAAGCCGAAACAACTTAAAGAACTTCGTCCTAGTCAGTACTCAGATAGGTACTGTAAGCTATGATACAGGAGTAGCAAACCTGAAATGTATGTCTACCATTCGCCCAGGTTTTGAATGTTGCTGACGCATATTGTCTGGTTCTCCAGCTATATATTTAGAGATTCTTGATAAAATCCAAAGAAGAATCAGCTATATTATTGGTCCTTACCAGTTTCAATCAGTTTCCCACCGTCGTACAGTTGCTTCCCTGTACCTATTCTATAAATACTGTCATGGTAATTGTTCAGATGAGCTCTTCGCTATGGTACTACCCAGACTTTGAATTTAAGCATAGTACTAGAGTGGCAAGAAGGTTTCATTAATTTACACTTGAAATGGCTAGATTTAACCGTAGGTTCTATGCTAGCAGTTTCTTCTCTCGCGCTTGTGACTTTGATGTTTCAAAATTTAAATGCAATGACAATCGTTATCCTCGCTATTTAATAATGTTTCTGTTTTCTAATTTTTTCACAATCAGTAACACCTTGTATCTTAGTGGCTTTATTACCGGGCATAGAGTGAAAGGATTGAAAAAAAAAAATCCTAATATACTTTAGACAATATCAATTTTAATGCAACGGGAAGATGTTGTGTAGAAGATGGATCTCCAGTGCCTAGACCAGAATTTCAAAAATACTACTTATTGATATTATGCCTAGCGCAGCACACAGATAGAGATAGAGAGAGAAAGAGAGAGAAAGAGAAACACAGAGAAAGCATCATTATGTGGAGCTGCTTCGGGACTGGCAAGTCGCACGCGAGATCTATTTGTGAGTTATAAGGCATGAAAGCTATCATCAATCAGGAAATATTGAATTTTAATTTTGAGATACGTAAAAAAAAGTGAGCGCCACTGATCCATCTATTAAAAAACAAAAGTCATCAAATGATAGCAAATCAGCCGGATTTCGATTCCGGCTTGAGGCAATCGGATGTCTAGCTACATTGGTGAGCTGTGATACAGCGAAAAAGTGTCTGTGGATGACGATATATAATTATTATATATATATATATAAATTAAATATTGTTATTATATATAACTATAAACGTTATATTTTATTGGGTACACGTAGACGGCATGTTTCGTTTTGTTTTTTTCAAACGGTGTCATCTTCACCTATTGGCCTCTGCACTCGAAAAGAAAATGAGCCCTTTGGATCAATAGAAAGAAATAAATTAAGTTGCAGGTTTTCCTTTCATATATACTTATTTTAATATATTTGCTATTTATACGTTATTTTTATAGATACAGATATTTGTATCTATAAAAAAATAACGTATAAACAGAAAATATATTAAAATATTTGTCGGGCGTAGTCCATACATATTTAAACATGTATTACTTTAAAAGTTAATGTAGAGAGTCAATCAGTTTTAGCGTTCCGAAATATTTGTCGTATAAAAGCTTTTCTACTACGCCAACAGACGAGTATACCACAGAGATAATCACACACACACACCTCGGCCTACTTGTTTTCGTTATTATATATGAAACTGCCTCTGTTTTTTTTTTCTTTTAGCAAAACAATTCTGAACCTATATGAATTGCATCGGGCAAAAACAATTGCCATGGACATCTACACGTAAATTACATTTTTCCCGTCTCTGGCCTTGACCTTGTTTAAACAATAAGAATGGGTAAAGTATTTTTGCAGTATATTCGATAGGGGGGGGGGCACTTTTATCACTTGTTTCGAGTTGCACATTGCAACATACATACATACATACATACATACATATTTGAAATAAAGGATATATGACAAATTGGAAAAGGTTTTTGTAACGCGTTTCATCCGTTAGGACTTCATCAGACTGGCTTTGCTTACGTTGTTGTGACTATGCGCACGAACAAGAGACGTTGGGAGTTTCAAAATTTATATAAAAATTTGTATATCGTTATCCCATATATCAAAATGGATAATGATCTGACCCGGATTAATATCTCCATCTTTGTTGTTATTATCACGATCACCAGACGCTTTTCTTATAGGATATACTAAAAGATATTTGCAGGCTCAAACTGAAAACAATTCATGAATTAAAGCAAACAATTTCTGATAAATTTGAAGAAGACAACTGACTTGTTGAGAATGACAATTATTCAATCATGTATTTCCCCAAATTCCAAGCAAGCGAGCGAGTGAAAAAGGAGTGAGCGGGGGGCGAAGAAGAGAAAAAGAAGAGAGAAAACGAAAAAAGAGAAAGAAAAAGAAGAGAGAAAAAGAGAAAGAAAAAGAAGAGAGAAAAAGAGAAAGAAAAAGAAGAGAGAAAGAAAAAGAAGAGAGAAAGAAAAAGAAGAGAGAAAGAAAAAGAAGAGAGAAAGAAAAAGAAGAGAGAAAGAAAAAGAAAAGAGAAAGAAAAAGAAGAGAGAAAGAAAAAGAAGAGAGAAAGAAAAAGAAGAGAGAAAGAAAAAGAAGAGAGAAAGAAAAAGAAGAGAGAAAGAAAAAGAGAAGAGAAAAAAAAGAGAAGAGAAGAGAAAAAAAAAGAGAAAGAAAAAAAAAAGAGAAGAGAAGAAGAAAAAAAGAAAAGAGAAAAAAAAGAAAAGAGAAAGAAAAGAGAGAAAAAAAAGAGAAAAAAGAGAAGAGAAAAAAAGAAGAGAGAGAAAAAGAGAAGAGAGAAAAAAAGAGAAGAGAGAAAAAAAGAGAAGAGAAAAAAAGAGAAGAGGAAAAAAGAGAAAAAAGAAAAAGAGAAGAGAAAAAAAAGAAAGAGAAAAAAGAGAAGAAAAGAGAAGAAGAAAAAAAGAGAAGAGAAAAAAAGAGAGAAAAGAAAAAAGAGAAGAGAAAAAAAGAGAAGAGAAAAAAAAGAGAAGAGAAAAAAGAGAAGAGAAAAAAAGAGAAGAGAAAAAAGAGAAGAGGAAAAAAAGAGAAGAGGAAAAAAAGAGAAGAGGAAAAAAAGAGAAGAGGAAAAAAAGAGAAGAGAAAAAAGAGAAGAGAAAAAAGAGAAGAGGAAAAAAGAGAAGAGGAAAAAAGAGAAGAGGAAAAAAGAGAAGAGGAAAAAA